ACGTTTGTTTGGATAATTTCCAAGACACTGCTCCACTCCAAATTGTGAAAACATACCCACTCGTGGATTTAACTTCTAATACTCCGGTGATCCAATTTGCATCACTATATCCCTCAATCACAGAGGGATATTTGTTATAAATCAGAGCATAGTCTTGAGTATGTTTTAGATACCCAAAACTCGTATCATTGCCATCCAATGTATTTGATTGATATTACTTGTAAACCGACTCAGTTTGCTAATAGCACATGCTATATCTAGTCGCGTACAATTAATGGAGTCACTTTCACCTTCATTCTTTCGAAGTGCATAACTCACGTCAATTGGAGTCTTGGCAATCATGAAATCCAAATATTTGAACTTGTCAAGTACTTTTTCAATATAGTGAGACTGTGATAATGCTAGACCTTGTGGAGTCCTGTGAAATCTGATTTCTAAGGGCACATCAGCAACTCCTAAGTCTTTCATGTCGAATTTGCTAGCCAGCATGCGCTTAGTAGCATTTATATCTGCCATATCTTTGCTTATTATTAACATGTAATCAACATATAAACAAACAATGACTTAATGACCTGGAGTGTTTTTAATGTAAACATATTTGTCACACTCGTTGATTTTAAAATCATTTGCAAACATTGTTGGGTAAAATTTAGCTTGCCATTATTGGGGTGCTTGTTTAAGTCCATAAAGCGACTTAACTAGTTTGCACACTTTCTTTTCTTTACTAGGAACCACAAAACCCTTAGGATGTTCCATGTAAATTTCTTCCTCCAACTCTCCATTTAAGAAAGTTGTTTTAACATCCATTTGATGGATTTCAAGACCATACAGGGCCGACGGTGCCACTAACACCTTAATAGATATTATCCTCTGATAAAATATGAGGGTCCACCAAACTCTATAGAGAACCAGGTTCTCTATCAGATCCACTAGAACACACGCACACAACAGTAAGTAAATGACAGGAGGAATTTTACGTGAAAAATTCCCAGCTCAACGGGATTAAAAACCATGACCTACCCTTGTAGGATTTCAACTTCACTAAATGAACAACTTTTAGATTACAACCTATGCAACCTAGGGATTAACCTCTTAATCCCTCACTAACGTGTAATACTCTATTACAAGCCACTTTGTAATAACTTTATTACAAAGACTTTACAACATGACTAACTCTAGCCAAGACTCAAACACACAAGTTTAAGGTTTACAAAGAGTTTCCTACAGAATGCTTCTAAACAAGCTAGGTAGGAATAACAATTGAAGAACTATTACAAAGTTACAACTCAACTAAGGACGTACAATGACTCGATGTAGGAACTGGTCCGTAGTTGTTTTGTTCTTTGTTCTTGAAGCACTTGAAATTTTCTTGTTGGATAGTCACATGAGTGAGCTTGTTGAATTTTCAAGTGAATGTGTTTTACCTTCCTTGATTGTATATATACATGTGTGACATCACTTATATTAATGTAAGCAAGGTAGGTAAAAAGTCTTCCACAGAAAGTTAACTGCTTCACTATTCTTGCACTGTAGTGTGTGCAGGCAGTAACTTTCTAGCTGGAGAGTTGACTTCGTACAGTCTCCTCGGGAACTGGTAGGGACATGTTCCCTCAGTTGTTCCTTCCACTCTGAAGAGTTGAATCATATCCCACGTTGAATCCCAACCTGGACCCTTGTGATCCTAAGGTCTTGTAAATGTGTAACAGGTTCCTTATCTAGTTCTGGATAGTAAGTTTGTTAGATCATCAAAACATAAAGTAAAGTACTTCTGACCAAAGTACTTGTAACCTATCATCCTCATTAATGGCGAGTAAGTGTAAAAGTAATCAAGGCCTTCCTTTTGTTTGTAACCTTGACAACAAGTCTTTCCTTATATTTGTCAATAGTGCCATCAACTTTCATTTTCATCTTAAAGATCCATTTCGAACCTAAAGGCTTATTTCCTGGAGGAAGATCAACCAATTTCCATGTAAGGTTATCCAAAATTGATTGAATCTCACTATTGACCGCCTTTTCCCAAAATGCTGAATCAGAAGATGATATAGCTGCTTTGAAATTTTGAAGCTCATTTTCAAGCAAGAATGTCAAGAAATCTGGTCTAAAGGAAGTAGATGTTCTTGACGTTTGCTACGCCTTAGGTCCTATTCACTTGGAGTATTTTCCTTTGGTTCTTCCCGTGGTTGTTTAGATCTTTCACTTGACGACTCGCATTCAATTTTATACGTATAAATGTTTTCAAAGAATTCAGCATTATCTTATTCAATTACGATACTAACATGAATTTCGGGATTATTAAATTTATGAACCAAAAACCGACATGCTTTACTGTTTGTAGCATATCCAATAAAAACACAATCCATAATTTTTGGTCCGATTTTTACCCTTTTGGGTAAAGGTACTTGTATTTGCTAAACACCCCCACACTTTAAAATTTTTCAAGTTGGGTTTTCTTCTCATAACCCTTAATCTTGGTTGTTGCAGTATTTTCTATGAAAAGCTCTTCTTTGGGACCAGCAGTAGAGTAAGTCGCAAATGCTTCTTTGACAACACAAACATGTCGAGTGGCTCCCGAGTCAATCCAACACTTCTTCGGATTTCCAACTAAGTTACATTCCGAAAGCATTGCACACAGATCATCAATGTCAACATTCATTTCCACTATGTTGGCCTGTCCCTTTTTCGGGAGACCCAGTCAGGGGCTTTGTGACCAGCTTTTTCACAATTATAGTAGTTTCCCTTAAAAATTTTCTTGTTCTGCTCCTTAGTCTATCCAGAAGACCTCTTCCTATTCTTACTTTTTGGACCAGCCTCTTCAACGATATTTGGTCTCATAATCGTTGAATTTCCATTTGACTTCTTCTCGGATGTTTTGTTATCTTCCTCAATCTTGAGACGAATCACAAGATCTTCCAACTTTATTTCTTTGCACTTGTACTTTAGATAGTTTTTGAAATCTCTCCATGAAGGAGGCAACTTTTCAATCATTGCAGCCACTCGAAATGCTTCATTCACTATCATACCTTCAACAATAAGGTCGTAAAAATTAAGTTGAAGCTTTTGAACTTGGGTTCCAACGGTTATGCTGTAAATCATTTATAGTCTAGAAACTTGACAACCACAAATTTTTTCAAGCACGCATCTTCAGTCTTGTACTTCTTCTCAAGTGCATCCCACAATTCTTTCGAAGTATTCATAGCACCGTACACATTGTACAAACCATCCTCCAAAGCACTTGGAATGTAGCCTTTGCAAAGAAAAACTACCTGTTTCCATATCTCAACAATCATAAACTTTTCATTGTCTGGCATGTCGGCGGCAAGCACTGGAGGGTCTTCACTAGTGAATTTCTGCATACTAAGTGTGGTAAGCCAAAAGAACACCCTTTGCTGCCATACTTTGAAGTTGGCTCTAGAAAATTTTCTTGGTTTTTTGGTCAGTGGCACAACAGTTCGGCTTGACGAGGCTATTGTCGTTGCCGCAACAGTCGCAAAAGGATTCTCATTTTCAATTGCCATTTCACACTGTCAACAACAGAACAGTTCAATCAAGGGCAGAAATAAAACGGTAAACAGTACTATAAAATAATAAATAGTACGTTTCATAAACAAAAATCAAAGTTTTTATATATTGTTTCACAAGAAAACGATGAAGTTTTTATGTTCTTCAAATCGTTTCTAAATTATGAACTTTAATATTCCGATGAAGTTTTTATATCTTCAAATCAGAAATAGAAAAATTTACAAGGAGTAGAAAACCACAAAGATTTTAATCTCCATAAAACATAATAAAGATTAAAGTATAAACAATTTCCTTAAGATTGTTATTAATCTGTATTAACTATAATATTATGAAACAGTAAATTTCTGTAACACAAAGCAGACACAAGAAAAACAGAAGTAAGTAGAAATTGGAAATAGTTAGAAACCAGAATCAGAAAATAATATTCGGAATGAAATCGAGCCCACTGAATGCAGTGTGTGCTTAAGGAAATTATTCCTCTCAAGTATCCGAGGTGTTGGAATATTATCCTCCCAGGATAGAACGATTTCGGGTTGACTTTTCGATAATTAATTAAACAGTAATTGAAAGGAATTTTATCCAAAAAGATTAATCAACCAATGACCGAACCCGAACCCTTTGTTAAGTAAGGTGATGGTGCTCTTTATCTGTTGCTTTCCCTCCTGGCAAGTGACTAAAGAAAACAAGTGAAGTAAGCTCCCCCCATACAAGCGAGCTAAGGGGCATGAAGTTATAAGTGATACTAATGGTTAGGGGGATGGTAGTAACCCAACTGCAAGCACATGAACTCGCTATACCAATAGCTCTCTGACCCGATCTGAGCGAGCAACATGACGGCGCGACGCTTACCTTCTTTTCGACCCATTTAACACCAAGAGAAGTGCTTTCTTAATATAAACACATTCCCTTTTCTTTCCACGACCAATGAGGGACAATTGCTCTTTACAAAGTATAAGGGAACAACTCACTTTCCCTTCACATTTCTTCCCTCCATTTCCCATTCACCAACTTTCAATTCCAATAGATTCAAGAATTCGAAGGCTAATAACCAAAACCAGCAGCTGAGCTGCATAACACATAGAAATTCAATTCGGTTCGCAGTTGGTTTTTACTGATAGAAAGCCCCGTACTCAGCTAAGCCAAGGTCTCTAAAGTTGTTCATGATTATAGGTAGATTCAGAATTTAAACATAGTGTGTTGGAGTTTACTAAAACCGATTTGATTTATTGGGTTCAAAATCTAGTATTTCATACTTATTTAATGGATTGACTCGGAAAACCCCATAAATAATTACTACTACATCCTCCCAGGAGCTCTTGGAACTCAAGAGAGGCAAATCCAATTTTTAAAGTTGTGGCTTCTAAATTGAAAGAGTTTGGTTCTGAAATATGTATATCCAACTCTATCTCTACTTGTTCCTCGTACATATAGTGCCAAACTGGCAAACTATATTTGGATGTGCAACTGGTACTCAATAGACATAACAGGAGAAGAATAATTCTGTGTTTAATCAACCATACATGGTAAACAAAATTGAAACATGAAGATTGATTTTTATGTAATGGCTTTCACTTCAATGTACTGATGATACAACAATGATGATACACAGGTTATAGGGGGTCAGATTTATTCCATGTATTGTTGGTTAATCATAGACCTGAAACATCTCTTCCTTCCTCTTCATGTAATATTGCCTTACCCATCATTGAACAAGATTCTTTTTTTGGCATATCTGTCTCCAGGTAAAGCTTCTTGGCCCTGTGGCCATAGCACCCTTTCAAGATGAGGCATGATATGAAGAAATCAACCCTCACTTCCCTCTGATCTCTGCTTTTTCTTGCATAAAACTTGTTGACTTCATCTTCTCTTCTAATTACACAACTTGACAGTGCAGGCAACAGCTTGAGCCCAGTATTTTAGCCTTGCTTTCACATCTTCAGGATCATCACCTGAGGTAAGAAAAAATTGTTGATAGTTACTTATCTGCAGCCAAACAAAATCTTATCTACTACTCCAAGAAAGATGCACACAACAAAAACAAAAACAGGATCTTTTTGGGATTAGTCTTTTGTTCCAGAAAAATAATGATCAAGGAACAAAGAGTTCCTGAATCTAATTCCAAAGACTGCACCTTTTTCTCTACAAAAATTGAAACTTTTTCAAAATTTTATCCCACTATATGCATCTCAATCGAACACCCTTTGCCAAGTCTTGTTAATAACAGGCAAAAATATCAGGAAAAAAGGGAAGAAAAATTTGAAGTGGGAAAAAAACTCACCAGGACTGGAGATCTTCCAATTAGCAACATGACCAGATCCAGAAGAAGCAGTATCAGACATAGAATCAGGACACTTCTGATGTTCATCAATGTACTTTTGGCTCATTGAATAACAAAGTTCAAGAGCTGGTAAAGTATTACAAAGCTCAGGAATTTCCTCATAACTGAACCCAAAACCCAGATCCAAACACCCCTTTAACTCCTCCAAATCATCATCTGTTAAACTCTTAGTCCTCCCTAATTCATCTTCATCTGAATTTTCTACATACCCTTCAAGAAAAACTTGGTTTTTCTTCTTATTACTTCTACTATTAAGCCATATTGGCTCCTCAATATTCTTGAACCAACCATTTTGTGGGGTATTATTGCTATTTTCATCATCTTCTTGAATCATCCAAGAAACTTCTTCCTCCATTTGATCTTCTTCAAATTCAGATGATGGCTCAACACCATTATCATGGAAAAAGCTTTCATAAGACCTACATCTTGAAGATGTTAGATGAGAGAACGTTTCCATTTTTCTTTTTTCTCACACCTTTTTTCTCTCTGTAAAGAGTAATGATTTGAGAAAGAAGACTCAGCTTATAAAGAAGACTCAATAATGGCCAGCTGTTTATGGGGTGGATGTTTATGTACATACTACATGAAATTATAGACATAGACCAATATGCACATGCACATCACTTCAACATTATTTTGTATAGAATATATGGTTTAGCCAATACTTATATTATTATTTGTTGGGCTCTTCTTTTTTTTTCTTTTTTTCTTTTTGTGAAAAATGACGACTATAATTTCCTGGTAAGTGGTAAGTTTGTGTAGAATTGACACTAGGTAGCCGCTCTAAAGAGCTATACTATTCAGGATTTAGTCCGTGCGTCTTGAATTTTAGTTTCTTAGTTCGATTTTCTTGACAAAAATATCATAAAGTTAAGACTTTTGGTTTAGAATTTCATGAGAAAATAAATATTGGCTATTTTCTAAATAACATCCATGAAAATGACTATCTGTGACTCTGTCTCTAAGTTTTGCCTTATATTTAAGAAGAAGATTTTGGAATTTATTATCTAATTATTAGAAAATGTATAATTACTTGTTAAATCAGTTCTATTAATTATAATCCCTGCATTTATTTCTTAATTATTGCATCGAATTAATCATTAAATTTTCTTTCAAATATTTGCATAAATAATTGTGTGAATTACAGAATATGTAATCTGATGTTTTTTCTAAACCAAGTAGGTACTAACTAATCCCTCCATCTCATTTTATGTAAAGAAATTCATAATATGAAGGTTAAAACTCTAAAGTTTCAATATGAATACATGCATAATCTATATTTATATCTATATTATATTAAAAGTACGAAGACTCTTAGCGAAATGTCGGTTGCCTTTTTACCATTTAAAAATAGAGTTCACATTAGATAAAATAGTAATTTAAATATTTTCCTAATATGTAGAATTTTCAAATCAAATAATATACTATTTATTAAATCTTTCCTTATTTGAATTATGTAGGATTTATAACTAAACTTTGGTTATGAAATCTTTCCTTTTTTAGTAGAAAGTTTAATATTCAGGATTTCAAAATAAATATTGTCTCGGAGAATTAGGAGTATGTTTTCTTTTCCTTCTATTTTCTTACGGCAATCCCTTTGAAATATGTTTAGGCATTCATTCTCCTTATAGGCAACTTAAAATTCTAAGGGATAGTGAGAGGTTTATACTTAATAAATTTTTAATTATTAAATATAGTTTTTAAGTATTACATAAAAATAATGAAAAGAAAAGTATTGATTGAATACCAAAGGATTTCAAAAATTATCCGTATTTTCTCTATTATTATAAAAGTATAAATCCCCAATGCAAAAAAATAAATAAATTATTTTTTGTAATGTTAAGAATAAATAATCAACTCTTTGAATTGATTAATTAGCAAAAGAATCCAATTTAATTCTTTTTCAAAATCTCATATTAGTAAAGTTATTTTTCAAGTTGATCAAACTCTTAAGTTACATAAATTTATTTCCATAAGAAGAGCACTAGCGGTGACAGAAATTAAAAGTTGAGCAAAATTAATTGTATTATAGTATTAATTTGTTAATTATTTTTAGTATTAGGTAAAAAAGTTAATAATACTTTTCATAATATATTCCAAAGTTCTCATAATAGGCTTTTATTGAACAAGATTTCTTTATTTAGTGAACAAGCTAAATTGGGTCAACATTCATATTAAGAGCTAACATTTTTTAATTTTTGTTCAATAACTTAAATATATTATTTAATAATAGTCACATAAAATACACGCGTAAGCGCATACCCTAAGACTAGTTTTTTAAATAAAATTACATACGGAAAGTTTTATTAAAAAGTACCGGAAGTAGCAATAATATAATATTTTAAAAAATAAAATTTGAAAGACGTAACTAATTAAACAAATTATGGACTTCCCAAAGAATAGTAGTGTCACATCAAATGAAATAAAATTTTACTTGGACAAGTAAAGTGAAGAAGCTAACAAATTAATTAGCTTCTTTACTTATTTGAAAAGTATTTGAGTAAGTTGAAAATTAAAAGATTGTTCTTTTCTTAGGGTTGGTTGAATTTTTCAAAGCAGCCTTATGAATCAAACGCCACACAAGTAATACCTTTCCTTGCCTTGTTTCAACTCTTAACAAAGCATTAAAAATGAGATCTCAAAATCTTTTAAGTAGGACATTAAGTTAATTTCACATTAAATATATGATTACTGAAATAAGAGGTGTTTAGGTGGTCCATAAGAAAATGGCCAGCTGTGCAATAACAAGAAAGTGACAGAATTAAAATTTGAGGACACGTTGGTGATAATTGATGGACCACAAGACCTAAATGCTGGTGCCTTACTTTTGTATAGAATATGGTTGAGTTGTGGACCCAAGAAAGAAAAGGAGGGGAAGTGGGACCCGCCCACGTTATGATGTTGTTGTAGGATTTGTCACCATCTGTTGTTTGTGATTTACAGACACCAATCAATTTGTGGTACTACCTGATTTGAGTCTTTGGTTTTGTGTGGTAACCTTGCTTACCTTTCTTTTACGGAAAAGGGTTCAAAATACCTTTAAATTATTGAAAAAGGTTTAAAAATAATCTTTATTTATTTATTGGATTAAAAATATTCCTTCATCCACCTTTTTGGTTTACTTATACCCTTTGACTGTTAGGTTAATGCTGAATTAAAAATAATTATTTAAAAAAATATTTTGCAAAATATTTTTATTTTTTTAAACTAATGCACCAGTAGTCCAATAATTTAGTAAAATCTTCTTTTTTTTAATTTCAGTTTTTACAAAAAACAATTCAATTTTTATAAAAAAAATATTTGTTTTCATCGTTTTTAGTTTTTTTAAAGTATTTTTTTTGTAAAAACTGAAAAAAAAATTTAAAAAAAGAGAAAAAATTATTTATAACAAAAATATTTTCGTTTTCTAAAAACAGAAAAAAAAATTCAACAAAATATTTTCGGGTTTGGAAAATATTGTTTTTTCAGTTTTTTTTTAAATTTCAGGTTTTTAAAAACAAAAATATTTTGTTAGAAAACGAAAATATTTTTTTCATTTTTTACAAATTTTTTTTTCAGTTTTCACAAATTTGTTTTTCCAGTTTTTACAAAAAAAAATGCTTTAAAAAAACTGAAAAAAATGAAAAAAAATATTTTTCAAAAATGAAAATATTTTGTTGAAAATATTTTTTCACTTTTTAAAAAACGAAAATATTTTATTAAAACAATTTTTTTTGTTTTTACAATTATTTCAGTTTTTACAAAAAAAAATGCTTTAAAAAACTGAAAAAAATAAAAATAAATTTTTTTTTGTAAAAACTGAATTCCTTTTTGTAAAAACTGAAAAAAAAAAAGACTTTACTAAATTAGTGGACTACTGGTCCATTTGTTTAAAAAAAATGAAAATATTTTGCAAAATATTTTTTTAAGTAATTATTTTTAATTCAGCATTGACCTAACGGTCAAAGGGAATAAATGAACCAAAAAGGTGGATGGAGGGGTATTTTTATCCCAATAGGTGGATGGATATTTTTAAAACTTTTCCAATACTTTAAGGGCATTTTGAACCCTTTTCCGTTTCTTTTATTATAGATTTGGTTGTAGTAGATATGAACTTATTCGGAAACTAGGAGTAGAAGGGAATAGAGGAAAGGAAAAAGGGAAAATTTGCATGTTAATGGTTTGGTTTGACAAAAGAAAAGAGCAATTTTGTGGAGTAGAGAGATATTGACTGTGCTGCTAAATAGCGGAGTTAGGATTTTTGTTGAGAGGTGTTAAAATTTAAAGAAGTAAATATACAAATAAGTTAAGGGGATTTAATACATAGTATATAATACATCAAAAATACTCCATCTATTTCAATTTAAATGACACACTTTTCTTATTAGTATGTTCAAAAAAGAACGACACATATATATATTTGGAAATAATTTAACGATAAACTTTTCATTTTACCTACTTTATCCTTAATAATAAGCTTTTATAGCCATAAAAATGCCATGACCCTACAAAGCTTTTGCCCCTTAAACTTTTAGTACCACATGTTTCAAAAGTCTTTTTTTTTCCCCCTTAAATTTTGTGCTAAGTCAGACTACATCATCTAAATTGAAATGGAGGGAGTAATTTTTACTTATTTAAATAGTGTAATTTTCCGGCAAAAGAATATCAATTGACACCAATTAGAGTTATGTGGCTCCGCCACTAGTGCTACTGTGTGGTGGGAGAGTCCCACACACAAGTAGGTGTGGGCAGAATACGAATACAAGATTTAAATTTGTTTAGTTCGATTAATAAAACTTTTAGCATTGAATTCATTGTACGTTTAGTATTATTAGTTCAAATATAATACAATACTGATTAAAAATTTAGTGATCTTTTACATGTTTTCGTCGAAATTTGTTATTGAAGTTGTATCTGCCCCTTCAATTTTTATTGTTCCCTTGCCCCTTCGGTTGGGCTCTAATTAGATTAAATGAAGGCAATTGCATGTCAAAAACAGGAAAGAATCGAAGGGTTCGATTCGTCTTTGAAAAAAGCTAATTATTCCACTGTATTTTCTTTCTATCGTGCAGTTTTTTCTAAATCTTTTTATGAATTCTTTACTAAATTAATGACAGACATTGAATAATTTTTCGGATAGTGCTTTTCGCAATTATGCCATCATAATAGATTGCTTAGTATTTAAATTATATATTTCCCGAAGCATTTAAATTGTTAGGCTTTTCAAGTCTCAACGACTTGAATCATTTATTTATTTTTGTAACGTTATAAACATTAAATAAAACCCACGGTCTTAATGGTATTATTCGATTACAAATAAATTGTGAAGTAAATACACCAAAAAAATAACCGTTTGAATTTTAATAAATCGTTGTTGACTCACTCCTTTTCTGTGCATATATTGCATGTTGTTACTTAAGGTGTAAATCATTCAATTTTTTGTTGTTTGATGATAATAAGCCAAAGTTATTATAACCTACAAAGTTGAACTGAAATATAGTCTTTTTATATTTGACGACATTTGCTTTCATTAGAATGATAATGAGTCGGGAGCATACTAACTGGGAGTATGTGTGGTTCCTA